AAAAAAAAAAAAAAAAGTTGAATAAGTGTACAGATTATAAATAAACTGACCCAAGGTCAGTGATATGCCAAAAGAAGCAGAATGTCAAAGCAGAGAAAAGACCAGTTAATTCATTCAAAAAATAAATATTGCAGGATAAAAACCAAATAACACATGATAATTAACAGCCGATTTAACACACTAAACTTTGGAAATGTTTAAAGATCCAAATTAAAATACATGGCATTAATGCAAGCCCAAATTATTAGCTATGCCATTCAAACACTTAAAGCTGACGCATGTATTCAATGTCATTTGATATAACGGAAACCTTACTGAGTGAGGATCTTTTAGACAAATAAAAGATGAAAACATCAAAAGTGTTTTATTTGAAATCGCTATTTAATAGTAGGGGGGAAAGAGTAGATCAAATACATGAAATAACAAAGTGCTTTACAGGCCGAGCCCATTAATTTTTTTTTTTTATAGAATGGCAGTACTTATACTGATTGGCTCGTACCAGTCACACAATTCCACTTGCAACATGTTGAATTCATTTACTCACTAATTGATAATCAATTTTGCATTATATTTCCGGAAGTAGCATTAATATTGAACTAGATAACTTACAGAAAGACCTACCAACATGTTTCCAGAAAAAGAGTTGGCTAAGAACTGAACTCAAGAAGCTGGTTTTCGCCGTACAACTAAATCATCAGCAGAGTAGTAATCAGCAATGAGACGGTATATGTAGGAAGGGTTGTGACCACCTCTGTATGAACAAGAGTCAAAAATATGAATTTTAGTACATAGATAATTTTGAAAAATAATATGGTGAGTAACAGACACACACACACACACACACACACACATAATAAACGCTTCAATAATTTTTTATAATCTCATAGTGTTTAAAAAAATTATATATATACATGATGTACTTATATACACACATAAACTTCACCAAATAATTTTTAATCCCACTGTTTTAAAACCAATTAAACCAGAAGCATTACCACTCATTTATATATTATCCCAGTTGGAGAAATAAAACTGAGGAACACATATGTAAGCTAAATGATTTCGAACTATTTTACTTAGACTATCACTCAGAAAACTTACGTGTCAGTAATAAACAGGCTAACAAAACTTGGAGGCACATAATCAAACGCCGGATTGACGACATGAAGAAGTGGTGAGCCAGTGTCGATCCCAAAGTCCAAACAATCTGAGAACTCTCCAAAGTCCAGCAGCTCAGATGGAGACTTCAATTCATTCAATAGTACCTCAGGGTTGTGAGGGTACAGAGGACATAACTGTAATTGAACAAATAAGCAATGTTAAGTAAATGGAATGTATATATTTTTTACATATACAGCTAGGAGGGGAATGCAAGAAAAGACTCTATTCCATGTCAATAAATAATATGCCAATGGATACCACATATACATACAAGTATCAATTCCCTAAAAGATAATAATGCTCCTTGAAAGATGCCAACCAAAAAGCCTCAATTTTCCATTTATAAGATTGAAGTCTTATAGAGCTTGATTGGCCTATTATTTAAATTACTCAACCACAAAAATTCGCATTATTTTACATCATTGATTTTCATCCACGATACAGTAGCCATTTCACTTTTCAGGTCAGCCATGCAAGAAGCTCTAAGTCAATGATGAGCTTAGACTTGTGAATAAGTGACATAAACATTAAATGCAGTATGAAGCATTAGCACACCGGGAAGAAAGATCTAGAAAAGAATATTTGACATAACAGCTTTAAATCAAGCATCCCCTCAATAACTTGTGAACAAAATGTCCTATCAACTGTAGTAGAGGCGGTCTAAGCTGGTTGGCAAAGAAATCGATTTCGTACTTGAGACCTAGATTTTGACAATTTCCCTTGCTTAAAAAATTATGTGTCAACAATTTTCAATTCCTTCCTCTCAGTATGCATTTCCTCCTCGAACAACAAGAATTAAGTATATGAAGATCGTTAGGCCAGAATTAGTGCAGCATAAATAGTCATTGCCAGCTTTGCCTAATCAAAATTAGAACTCTGAAGTGGCTGACAAGATTTTTTAGCTTGGAAACTGATGTAATCTGAAAGTATCGTTTTTTTCTTATTTCATGTCTACGATGTCAGACATCAAGCTTTACAATGCGACAACATCCCTAATCAAACATCTTAATTTTCTCATGGAAAATATACAGAAAACTGCACAAGTCATGTCTGCGAATCAGTAAAATGATAAATAAGAGTACAGATACTTGCAACATGATACCTTATGAACCCCAGCGAGTACAACAAAAGGGACGGCATGCTTTTGAGCTGCTAGGGCCACCATATTCATCCCAACAGGTGCTATAACCCCACCATTAGCCATGACAGCATGTGCTCCAACTATTACCTGAAAATGAGAAGTTCTTCAATTGAAGGCATAGAAAATGAAAATTACAGTGCAATGCAATCATTACACACACCATGTTGACCCTGGATATCATGGCAAAAACTGCAGAATCAGTAATAACTGTTGTTTGCAGCCCCCTTGCAGCCAGTTCTTTCGCTAAAGCGTGCCCCTGATACCTGGGAAAGAAAGAAGAAAGAAATGCGAAGAGGATTGAAGAGGCAACTCTTCATTTGATTGCACAAAATAAAAGTGAACTCAATTTGCCATAGAAGAGAAATAATTTGCACAATCAACCTTGGAGCACCTTCAGCAACAAACACACGGAATGACCGCTTTTTCTCCTTTGCAGCACATAGAAATTCCAGCACTGTCCTTGAACTGCCTAAAGTCAAGATCACCTCACTGTAAGTTGAAAACAAAAAATTAAGGTAGCCGTCCGTACTATCTAATAGCACAAAAGGAGGATTGTGGTAAATAACAGAAATGGTTAAATAATTCTCACATTATGATTGCTACATATGATACATACGAACAACAAAGAACTCTACAAACATCATAGAATGTGAAGGGATTAAGATAGACTTGATCCTCGAATTATTACGGGACAGACAGAAAAAAACAAGAATAAAAATCCAAAAAGATATATAGAAAGCACAACACATGACCTTCAGGGATAAATGGCAAGTGATAGCGTGTCATCCGTTTCTCATATATAATTTAGCAATTCACTATTATTGGTATGATATATGGTGTCGCTAAGTTCTTATTTGAAAACACATAATTGTTGTATATGACTGGGTGGTTTTGATTTATAAGATAACGTTAATTATGTCTTTAAAATCATAAAACCAATGATGCATCTCGCTTAGAATCTAGAATCATTTTGAGCCTTGTACCTCATTTCCCAAGAAAAAATGCCATAGTAAAACCCAAGTGGCCAAGTTAGAAGTCAGATCCTCAATTAGCCATACCATTCTAAACCTTGAGAACAATGCCAAAAAAATAATCAAAATTTTCCCCATGCCCCAACTCATTAAATACTCAACTTATCCCATTGTACATGTATGTGTACGAGATGTGTGAAATGGTCCACTAAAACAAGAATGTGAATCCATTATTAATTCTTCATGACGTCACAAGGAAAGTATCTTTCAGATTATGCAAATATGGAAGCTCTGAAGCTCATTACGTGAAGAGAACAGAAATCACAGTAACGCATCATATAGATTTCCACCTCAAATAAATATACAGGATATGTTAGAATAAAACAAAACAAGGGTGTACTTCTGATGTATATGTTCCACTGCTTGTTCAGCAATCCCTTCATGGCAAGAGGAAATTTCTCGAATGAGATCATTAACTGACTCAATGACATTGTGCTTTAGTTTCCGAGTTGATGAATTTCTATCAGCAGCTGCAAGGCAGACACAATGACGGAGTTAAAACTTAAAAGACAACTAATACATAAATTAATTAATTAATTAAGCTAGAGAATAGAGATTCATTTGATCTAAACTCAAGCATGACTGTTTCCATCATCAGCCGC